AGCTTCTGAAGATCTCGCCTGCAGGGGCGGCTGTGTGGGCAATAGCTGTCTTATTAGCTAAGTAGTACTCTCTAAATTTAACCTTAGCTGGTAAACTATTTCTCAACAAACTTCGCGAGAGCATAACTCCATAAGTTTTCCATCAAATTTCATACTTTTGGTGTCATTATGATTGGGAAAAGATTATCTATCATTTCATAAGATTTTTTTTTTTTTTTTTTTTTTTTTTTTTTTTTTTTTTTTTTTTTCGAAAAAATTCTGACGTTGAGAACAAGTTTAGGAGAGGGCCTGCCTACCCTGAAAGTGGTTTAAAATATCAAGAAGGTATTAGCAGATTCAGCCCCTAACACAAACAGTTGAATTCCTAAATTTGCAAACTTCATATTTCTCAAGATTCAGTTATACATGTTTTTCACTGATGAGCATGGTGATTGTTAGGTTTTTTGTGGTGTCTGGTTTATTTTGGCGAGGGGAAAAAGCAAATAGGGTGTAAGTCAATCCACACTTAACTCCCAAACTCAACAGAGCCACAACTGCTTCTACTACTACCATCAAGGACATCATGAACATAACTACTGTAGGCGTATACACCATCCCATGTAACAACTGTCACAAAATCTACCAATGTGAGATATCCAGAGACCTCTACACAAGAATTTCAGAGCACTAATGTTCCAACAGACCAGATAATGTTAACAGTGCCTTCATAATACATTGTAATTCTCACAACTGCTTTTAAATTGAAATGGTGTATTTACTAATTGCCATTGAGAATGGCATCCAGAAAAAGCCTTTGAATCTTCATTCATTGGTATCTTCAACAATGTCAACCATAACAAACAGTTTCTTCAATTTATGTAAACTTCTTTCTTTCAACGCACCGGCCGTATCCCATTGAGGCAGGGTGGCCCAAAAAGAAAAACAAAAGTTTCTCTTTAAATTTAGTAATTTATACAGGAGAAGGGGTTACTAGCCCCTTGCTCCTGGCATTTTAGTCACCTCTTATAACATGTATGGCTTAAAGAGGAAGAATCCTGTTCCACTTCCCCATGGATATAAGAGGAACAACAACAAGAACTAGGAAGAAAATAGAAGAAAACCCAGAGGTGTGTGTATATAGTATATGCTTGTACATGTATGTGTAGTGTGACCTAAGTGTAAGTAGAAGTAGCAAGACATACCTGAAATCTTGCATGTTTATGAGACAGTAAAAAGGACACCAGCAATCCTACCATCATGTAAAACAATTACAGGCTTTCATTTTACACTCACTTGGCAGGACGGTAGTACCTCCCTAGACGGTTGCTGTCTACCAACCTACTACCTAGGAATTTATGTAAACAACTTGTCAGAAAACTTGCAGAATGTTTGGGAATAAATGTGTCTTGACTCTCACACAACTTGTTCTTTACCCACAGCTACTTTCTACAATTTATTTGAAGATTGAGACACTTATGCAACATATGGGAATCTTTATTGAGGAAACGTTTTGCCACAAAGTGGCTTCATCAGTCCAGTACAAAGCAGAAAGGTGTAAGGAGAGGAGGAGTTTGAAGTAATCAGTTCCTCACCCTGGAAATGAAGTGTCCAGTACATCAGTCTTCTAGAAAGCACAGTGAATATGGCCAGAGAAGTGGCTTATATACTGTAGTCAGGCGAGTGGAAGCAGGAGGAGGCGGAATCACAGTGGAACTATCCACTAGTGTAAGTAGGTCTTCGTCCAGAGGTTGGACAAGTATTGAAGAATTCCTTGTATCAAGATCCCATGATGTTGCTTTGTATTGGACTGATAAAGCCACTGTGTGGCAAAACATTTCCTCAATAAAGATTCCCATGTGTTACCTAAGTGTTTCAGTCTTCAACTTGTCAGTTTTCTAAACCATTTATCACGTCTGTCAGACACTGCTACAAACGGCCACTATCCCAAACCCCTCCTTTAAAGTGTAAGCATTGTACTTCCCACTTCCAGGACTCAAGTCCAGCTAACCAGTTTCCCTGAATCCCTTCACACAGTATTACCCTGCTCACACCCCGACAGCTCGTCAGGTCCCAAAAGCCATTCGTCTCCATTCACTCCTATCTAACACGCTCACACATGCTTGCTGCATGTCCAAGCCTCTTGCACACAAAACCTCTTTTACCCCCTCCCTCCATCCTTTCCTAGGATGATCCCTACCCCTCCCCTCCACTACAGATTTTACGCCATCCAGTCATCTATTTTGCTCCTTCCTCTAATAACCAAACCCCTCAACACCTCTTCAGCCCTCTGAATAATACTTTTAGTAACTCCACACCTCCTCCAAATTTTCACTACAAATTCTCTTCATAATAATTAAACCATACATTGCCCTTTTAATGAAAACAAGAAAAAAATTTGGAGTTAAACAAGTTAAGAAAGCCTAGGGAAAGTATGGATTTGTCAGTTAAAAACAGAGTAGGGGAGTTAGTAGATGGGGAGATGGAGGTATTAGGTAGATGGCGAGAATATTTTGAGGAACTTTTAAATGTTAAGGAAGAAAGGGAGGCGGTAATTTCATGCACTGGTCAAGGAGGTATACCATCTTTTAGGAGTGAAGAAGAGCAGATTGTAAGTGTGGGGGAGGTACGTGAGGCATTACGTAGAATAAAAGGGGGTAAAGCAGCTGGAACTGATGGGATCATGACAGAAATGTTAAAAGCAGGGGAGGATATAGTGTTGGAGTGGTTGGTATTTTTGTTTAATAAATGTATGAAAGAGGGGAATGTACCTAGGGATTGGCGGAGAGCATGTATAGTCCCTTTATATAAAGGGAAAGGGGACAAAAGAGATTGTAAAAATTATAGAGGAATAAGTTTACTGAGTATACCAGGGAAAGTGTATGGTAGGGTTATAATTGAAAGAATTAGAGGTAAGACAGAATGTAGGATTGCGGATGAGCAGGGAGGTTTCAGAGTGGGTAGGGGATGTGTAGATCAAGTGTTTACATTGAAGCATATATGTGAACAGTATTTAGATAAAGGCAGGGAAGTTTTTATTGCATTTATGGATTTAGAAAAGGCATATGATAGAGTGGATAGAGGAGCAATGTGGCAGATGTTGCAAGTATATGGAATAGGTGGTAAGTTACTAAATGCTGTAAAGAGTTTTTATGAGGATAGTGAGGCTCAGGATAGGGTGTGTAGAAGAGAGGGAGAATACTTCCCGGTAAAAGTAGGTCTTAGACAGGGATGTGTAATGTCACCATGGTTGTTTAATATATTTATAAATGGGGTTGTAAAAGAAGTAAATGCTAAGGTGTTCGGGAGAGGGGTGGGATTAAATTATGGGAAACAAATTCAAAATGGGAATTGGCACAGTAACTTTTTGCTGATGATACTGTGTTTATGGGAGATTCTAAAGAAAAATTGCAAAGGTTAGTGGATGAGTTTGGGAATGTGTGTAAAGGTAGAAAGTTGAAAGTGAACATAGAAAAGAGTAAGGTGATAGGGTATCAAATGATTTAGATAAAGAAAAATTGGATATCAAATTGGGGAGGAGGAGTATGGAAGAAGTGAATGTTTTCAGATACTTGGGAGTTGACGTGTCGGCGGATGGATTTATGAAGGATGAGGTTAATCATAGAATTGATGAGGGAAAAAGGTGAGTGGTGCGTTGAGGTATATGTGGAGTCAAAAAACGTTATCTATGGAGGCAAAGAAGGGAATGTATGAAAGTATAGTAGTACCAACACTCTTATATGGGTGTGAAGCTTGGGTGGTAAATGCAGCAGCGAGGAGACGGTTGGAGGCAGCGGAGATGTCCTGTTTAAGGGCAATGTGTGGTGTAAATATTATGCAGAAAATTCTGAGTGTGGAAATTAGGAAAGGTGTGGAGTTAATAAAAGTATTATCAGAGGGCAGAAGAGGGGTTGTTGAGGTGGTTTGGTCATTTAGAGAGAATGGATCAAAGTAGAATGACATGGAAAGCATATAAATCTATTGGGGAAGGAAGGTGGGGTAGGGGTCGTCCTCAAAAGGGTTGGAGAGAGGGGGTAAAGGAGGTTTTGTGGGCGAGGGGCTTGGACTTCCAGCAAGCGTGCGTGAGCATGTTAGATAGGAGTGAATGGAGACGAATGGTACTTGGGACCTGACGATCTGTTGGAGTGTGAGCAGGGTAATATTTAGTGAAGGGATTCAGGGAAACCGGTTATTTTCATATAGTCGGACTTAAGTCCTGGAAATGGGAAGTACAATGCCTGCACTTTAAAGGAGGGGTTTGGGATATTGGCAGTGTGGAGGGATATGTTGTGTATCTTTATATGTATATGCTTCTAAACTGTTGTATTCTGAGCACCTTCGCAAAAATAGTGAAAGTGTTGAATGATGATGAAAGTATTTTCTTTTTGGGGATTTTCTTTCTTGGGTCACCCTGCCTCGGTGGGAGACGGCCGACTTGTTGAAAAAAAAAAAAATTGCCCTTAGCCATGACATCACTGCCTCCAGCCTCCTCCTTACTGCAGCATTTACAACCCTTGCTTCACACCCATATAAGAGTGTTGGTACCACTATACTCTTGTACATTCTCTTCTTTGCCTCCATGGATAACGTGTTTTGTCTCGCCAGACACTTCAGTGCACGATTCACCTTTTTTTCTTCGTCATTTCTATGGTTAACCTCATCCTTCATAAACTCATCTGCTGACAAGTCTACTCCCAAATATCTGAATACATTCACTTCTTCCATACTCCCTCCCTCCAATGTAATATCCAGTTTTTCTTTACCTAACTTGTTTGATACCCTCATCACCTTGCTCATATCTATGTTCACTTTTGGCTTTCTTTCTTTACACACTCTCCAAGACTTGTCCAATAACCTTTGCAACTTCTTTTTAGAATCTCACGGTATCATCAGCAAAAAGTAATTATAATTTTAACTCAACTGGAACAATGTTTATGGAGATATGGCTCTGAAACTATCAGTTTATGCATATTATTTATTAGATCTGTTAATTTATGCATATTATTTATTTTGTGTCATTTCAGACGCTTACAGCCAGAGTTGTCTGGAAAAGTTGCTGTGTTGGACACACTACTGGCACTCATTCGAAGCTCAACTGATGACAAGGTTGTTCTTATTTCCAACTACACACAAACACTTGACCTGTTCCAGCAGCTGGCTGCCCTCAGGAATTACCCATATGTTCGACTTGATGGATCCATGTCTATTAAAAAAAGAGCAAAGGTAAAAAAAAATTCCTCATTTTTAAAAATGAAGAAGTTTGATTCTGTTGTGGTATATATTTTGTTCAACTAAATTAAGAAAGAAAATCACTATATTCTGGTATATTACCCTTTTTGACACCATAGACAAACTTCTTTCTTTTCACAGTTGCCTCAGCAAACCATCTTCCTTTGTTTCCTTATCTATTCTCCGGTTCTCCTTGTCATTCATAGATCAATCTGCTAACATGTCCACTCCCAGATATCTGAATACATTCACTTCCTCCATACTCTCTTCAGTCTAATTTCCAGTCATTCATTGCCCTTCAGTTCCTGTGTTCACTTTCAATTTTCTTCTTTTACACCCCCTCCTAAACTTTTCTTCAGAATTTCTTGAATGAACAGTGTCATTGGTAAAGAGGAACTGTGATAACTCCCAAGTTGTGTCACATTCCTTATATTTTAATCCCACAATACTTCCCAACACCAATTTGTTTAATAAAATTGTTGAAAATCAATGCTAAACTCCTGTTGAGAAAAACACTGGCACTAAAAGTTTGAAGCTGATAAGAAGACACATTCTCTAGTAAACATGCAGAGTACAATTCCATGTTTAATAACTGCTAGCAAATTGGCAAAATTTCACCTACACAGCTGAAACCCAAAATGCATCATCCTTTTATAGAGTGCAACAGTCAGTGGTCTAACTAGTCATTCACTCAGGCTTAGTCAAGGTAGGCTAAAGTTTTTCTTTCAACACACCGGCCATATCCCACCAAGGCGGGGTGACCCAAAAGGAAAAACGAAAGTTTCTCCTTTTACATTTAGTAATATATACAGGAGAAGGGGTTACTAGCCCCTTGCTCCCGGCATTTTAGTCGTCTCTTACGACACGCATGGCTCCAAGTCATGCTATTTTACTCCATCCTCTCTAAATGACCAGACCACCTTAACAACCCCTTCTCAGCCCTGTGGATAATAGTTTTAGTAACTCTGCAACTTCTCCTAATTTCCACTCTACAGATTCTCCGCTTAATATTTACACCATACATTGCTCTTAGACACGACATCTCCACTGCCTCCAGCCTCCTCCTCGCAGCAACATTCACAACCCATGCGTGTTAGTACCATGGAAATTATCCTAATGGTTCTCTGAGCCTTTTCCCTAATCTGAAGCCCATTGAATGAGTTACTTAAGTTATAAGTGAAAACCTTGGTGGAAGAAAAGAATACTGTAACTGAATAATATGAGCAGCTCTTATGTAAAAGATTGCAAAAACATTTTAAGAAATCAAACTTGTGAAATTCAAAAATTCCGTAAAAAAGCGAGTTATCAATATTTGTCAAGTTTCGTTTTTTTTTTCTTTTATAGTGTATTTCAAGTCATATACAATCCTTTAAATATTTATTTTTTATAACTAATTTGAATAGCTTCTATGAGCTACCAGAGAACAGATGAAAGCTTGAAGTAAAATTTTTCAGATTAGCACCCACATAGTGCAGTAAGTACAAATCTTCCTATAGGTCTGAAGCCAGTTGGACAAGGCATTCACAGATTATCACATTTATATAAATAAATTTCATTATTTCTTTCCCCTGAAGGCAGGTCCTTTACATTTGGTAGGTGGATTGCCATCTTCACTATCACAGCTGTACTGAGTGGCTTCAGCCAAACTGAGCATTACCTTGTGCATTTACCCTGCACTGTGTTCCATAAATTCCTTGTTTCCTCTTTCCTGTAAGTTGAGCAAGCTGGTAGTCTGCTAGTGGCAACATGCTTATTGGTCTGAGAATAGAGGTTGGACAGAAGATTCAGTGCTGGTTCTACAGAATCAGTCGACTGATCTGACATCACTTCCCTGTCTGGTAGGACGATGTTTTTGGCTAGGGCCAAACAAGCATCAGTAAGTGGCTGTCATTTAGCTCATTGTTGGTCACTTGTGTATTACTCTATTAACCCTGAGTAGTTAAAAATCAACAGATAGGCCTTCCTTTTCCTTGTTGGGCTTGATGGTGGATGGGGAAGTAGAGAGCTGAAGGTAATTACTAATGTATAGATAATCTTCCTACATACACTGTTGGTGACCCCTGTGCACCCTTAGACTCCCCTCAGACCTTGGTATAACTTTCAGGCCCTCTTTTGTTGCTTGAGCCCTGTACCGGAGTCCACCTGACCCCTTTGGTTTGACTTTGATCCTGGCTTCTTCCATGACACAGCATCAATTTTCAGGTTGTTTGTACCACAGGACAGAATGGCTTAAAACCTTTGTCCCAATGACCTCAACACATACTAGACAATTCTAACTCAAACTGTCCCCTCCCCCACCTCCTCATTCATACAAGAAACAAGTTACCTGGAATACACTTTCCCTTGTAAACCTATTCTTTTCTCTCCAATTGACAGCACCCACTGAGTACTTCATCAATGATGGAATTTGCAAAACTCTTATGAGACATGTCCAAAATGTATCCTTCCATGGTTTTGGGAGTAGGATGCTAAACAAGGTGACAATCTCCCTTCCATGCACCATCAACATCCCTTTCACAATACACAAATATTCCTTCCTCAGTTTGAGCTATGGTACTGTCCTCGCTGTAAACAGTATAGCCCAACAAGAATATACGCAATGTGGTCTGGACATTCAGGAGCAACTTGAGCTCTCAACTCTGTCATTATTCAAGCATTGCTGCCAAACCAACCCTTGATTGCAGGTCACTGCTTACAAGTATGGGAACTATGCCCAACACCTAAACAATGCAGACATTGCTGGTTATTTTGTTACCTGGTCAAATATTACAGATCATCTGCAGAATGCCCAGTCTCAAGTGCTGCTGATCATAATCCATCCTGAAGCATAACCCCCATTTGCCTTACTTGTGGAGAAGCACACCCTGTATATTCCTGCTGTTACCTGGTTTTTGTAAAAGAAAGCAAAATCTGCTGTCTCAATGAAAAGGAGAGCCTCTTATGCTATGGCTGTCTCTCAACTCCATCTTTAAAGAAGACCTCCACGGCTCTCCTACTACAGGGCTGCTCATTGTCCTCAGGATCCTGTTGTGCCCTCTCCCAGTCACGCCTGTGTCTAACCCTTATGAAGTCCTCACCTCTAATGTTCCTATCTCTTTGCCTTCTCCCACTTTTACTTCTTTGTCCTATTTCATTTCACATGATTCCCTATCCACACAGCCTTCCCCAGCTGAGCCTTCATCTCTTCCTCCAAAATTTCAGACTCAAAATTTCACCAGTCACCAAAACTCCCTACCAACCTGTTGTTCCTTCACTCTTAACTCTCCCTATCAGTGTGCCTTGCTCTGTGCCTCCTGCATCAGTGAGAGTTGTGGAAAGCCATTCACCTCCTCACACACTGCCACTATCCCCTCTGTCCCTATTCAGATTCCTTCATCCTAGGAGACTCTGTCTCTTCCCATCTTGACAGCTGCCATTGTCTATCCACTCTGCGTTCCTTCTACCTCGGTCCATCCCTATCTGTCCTATCAAATATTCTTAGTATTTTGTATGCTCTTATGTCTCCCCTGGTGGTATTGTATATGCAGTCTGAAATTTCTTGTATAAATTGATCATGAAATCCCATTTGTTTTTATTTTAGATTCCTGTATGACCCACAGGTAGTCTGTATTTTTGTAAACATGATAATACAGGTTAACCATCACTAATCCAGCATCATCAGGACCTGTACAGTGCCAAAAAAGTAATTTTGCCACATTATGTAGAGGTTAGGTTAGATTACAATTAACCCAATGGTGATATTACGCATCAGCGATTTCACCCACTTTTCGCCCTATTTTTGGCCCATTCCATTGTTCCAGTCTACCAAACTCGTAGCTGTTTTACTAGTATACCTTCTATTCTGTCAATTGAGTACAAGAAACTGCCCCTTTACCTATTTTAACTACCCAATAAAGTGGCCAGAAATCAGTAATTTGGCCAATTTCACACAAATTTAAAGAGATGTCAATTTCAAAATAGGGTCCAGAATAAACAGTGCAGACATTACTGGCACTAAAATAATATTTTCTCTGTTCATTAGTCACATCTCCAGGTCTCTCTTATATTACTCTTGCTTTCCATTTTGAATTTTTATTAACACAAAAAATAAAAGATTTACTGTTAAGCAGACTACTGCATTATTGTAATAATTGTATAAATAATGTCAACCCATTCATGACTGAGTATTAGACCGGCCAGTTGGACACGTATTGGATGATGACGTCATTTGTTTACTTTTGAACATTGGCAAAAATTTAACATTTTCGCTGCTTTCAGCTCAATTTCAGGTACTTTCATTCATGAAACCAATCAAAATCATATCTATTTCAGTAGTATATCTTCCATTCTATCAAATGAGACCATAAAAATGAGAATACAACCCCCCCAAAAAAAAGAAAATATACCGCAAAATCGTTTTACACCAAAAACACAATCATAGTTTTTTTCTCATTATGCACTGCAGGATTTTTTTATATAGAGCATACTTACTACACAGACCTATTATCTCATATGTAGGCCCAAATTTACCGGTCACGGCTTATCTGAGTGAGCTCAGCTCGTGGCAACTGAGAGTGGCTGCAAAGTCACCTTATCTTTTATGGACAGTGTAAGGTGTGTGTGCTTTACACAACGAGAAGCGTTTCTTTTATTTGTTGGAACCATGGCTAGGGCTAGGAGAAAAAGAAGTTGGAATAACTTATGCAGCAAATAGTGCCAGCAACAGGTTGGTTGAGCGGTGGCAGAAATTTGAAATTATGCTAGCCAAAACTAGTGCCACATTAGTGATGGCCAACCAGTAGTTGTTTTAAACTGCATATTTGTTTTGTTCAGATTGTTGAGAAGTTTAATGATCCATCTGGAGGAGAGTTTATCTTCATGCTGAGTAGCAAAGCTGGTGGATGTGGCCTTAATCTCATTGGTGCCAACCGCTTGGTAATGTTTGACCCCGACTGGAATCCTGCCAATGATGACCAGGCCATGGCAAGGGTGTGGCGGGATGGCCAAAAGAAGAAGTGCTGTATATATCGACTCCTTGCTGTATGTACTCTATTGCTTGTGTTAATTATTCTTTTTTAAACTCAGTTTAAAAACACATTGCAATTACCCAAGCACTTCAAAAGTGCTCCATACAGGTTTGGTGCTATAGGTTATATGGATGTAGGGTCTTAGTTCAAAATTGGGGCTGGGATGGAGGATATTGTTAGCCGTCTGGATGACATCATGAGAGGTAATGGGAGCAATCCTATTATCTGTCTCAGTGCTGGAGGCAACGATGTTGGCAGACGTAGGAGTGAGGACCTGATTAGCAGGTATAGGTCAGCAATAGAAATAATTAGAAGTAAGGGTGGGAACCCTCTCATATGTTGTATTTTGCCAAGGAGGGGAGTTGGAAATGAATGGTTGTCCAGGGCAATTGGTGTTAATTGCTGGCTGGACAAATACTGTAAGGAAAATGCGGTAACATTCATTGACAACTGGGACCTCTTCTATGGCAGAAATGACATGTATGCTAGGGATGGGGTGGGAGCACTGGCAACTGCAGTGGAGGGAGCAGTTAGGACTTTAAACTAGGAATAGTTAGTGGTATGGGTTTTGGCAGGAAAACAGTGAAGTCCCAGCATAGTAATATTATGAGTTCTAGGGGAACTAGTAATAATAAGAACGAGATAGATATTGAAAAGCCAGGGACCTTGGGTGATAAGGACAGTAATAGGTTTAGTAGAAAAAATAGAAATGAGCAGGAAGGGTAAAGAGAAAGGAGAGTCTTTCAATGTTTATTATGCTAATTGCCGTAGTGCTAGGAATAAGATGGACGAGTTGAGATTAGTTGCTAGTGTAGGTAACATTGATGTATTTGCCTTAACTGAGACGTGGTTTAATTCAAAAAGTTGGGACATGCCTGCGGAATGTCATATTCAGGGTTTTAAATTGTTCCAAGAAGATAGAAGTATTGGGAGGGGGGTGGGGTGGCATTGTATGTCCGAGATCGCTTGAACTGTTGCATAAAAATGGTATTAAGTCTGAAGTAACACATACAGAGTCTGTTTGGATAGAATTTTCAGAGGGGCATGAAAAACTGATTTTAGGAGTGATATACCGTCCCTCAAACTTAGATAGGGACCAAGGGAAACTACTATGGGAGGAAATTGTTAAGGCCACAAGGCACAATAATGTAGTAATTCTAGGAGACTTAACTTTAGTCATGTTGATTGGAATTTCTTGACTGGGAATTTAAAAATCATACGACTTCTTAGAAGTATTTCAGGATTGTTTTTTGAAGCAGTTTGTGACAGAACCTACAAGGGGAAATAACCTGCTTGACTTAGTTATGGCAAACAATGAATCCCTTGTTAATAATTTAGAAATTTCAGAGGAACTGGGTGCTAGCGACCACAAATCAATTACATTTAGCATTGAATGGAAGTACGATAGTAGCGATAACTCAGTAACAGCCCCCAGATTTTCGCTTAGCAGATTACGATGGGCTTAGAGAACACTTATCTGTTGACTGGGGTAACGAAGAGAGCTATCAATATGACAGTTTTCTGAACACTATACATGCTGCTCAAAGAGCGTTTATCCCATATAAAGAAATTAGATCAAATAGAAATGACCCAAAATGGATGAGTAATAGGCTCAAATATCTACTAGGGCATAAGAAAGGAATTTATAGGCGTATCAAAAGAGGTGAGGGTCACTTATGAATCAGTATATTGACATTAAGAGGGACATTAAAAAGGGGATAAGAAAGCTAAAAGGGACTATGAAATTAAAGTTGCTAGGGATTCTAAAACTAACCCAAAAGTTTTTTCCAGGTCTATAGAACAAAAGTTAGAGATAAGATAGGTCCCTTTAAAAATAACTATGGGCACCTTACTGACAAAGAGAATGAAATATGCTTGATTTTAAATAATATTTTCTCTCATTTTTTACACAGGAAGACACTAACAGTATTCCGGTAATTAATTTTTACAGTGGGCTAGAAGAAGATAAATTATGTAACATCACAGTCACTAGTGAGATGGTTGTGAAGCAGATAGACAGACTGAAGCAAAATAAGTCGCCGGGTCCTGATGAGGTTTTTTCAAGGGTTCTTAAGGAATGCAAAATGGAACTCTGTGAACCATTAACTAATATTTTTAATTTATCTCTTCAAACAGGTGTAGTGTCTGATATGTGGAAGATGGCTAATGTAACTCCTATTTTTAAAACTGGGAACAAGTCGTTACCGTCAAATTACCGCCCAATAAGCCTGACCTCAATTGTAGGCAAATTACTAGAGTCAATTATAGCTGAGATTATAAGAAGCCATCTCGATAAGCATAGCTTGATTAATGATACTCAGCATGGATTCACAAGAGGCTGGTCTTGTCTAACTAATTTATTAACTTTTTTCAGTAAAGCTTTTGAGGCTGTTGACCACAATAAAGAATTTGATATTATTTACTTAGATTTTAGTAAGGCTTTTGATAGAGTTCCGCACCATAGACTGTTAAAGAAAGTGGCAGCTCATGGCATTGGGGGAAAAGTGCTCTCGTGGATCGAGTCATGGCTCACTGACAGGAAGCAGAGTGTGTCCATAAATGGGGTTAAATCCGAGTGGGGTTCTGTAACAAGTGGCGTTCCACAGGGATCAGTCTTGGGCCCGTTGTTGTTTATAATATATATCAATGATCTTGATGAGGGAATTACTAGTGATATGAGCAAATTCGCCGATGACACAAAGATATGTAGGATAATTGATTCAAACGTAGATATTATGGAACTTCAGGAGGATTTAAACAAACTCTATTCTTGGTCAGAAAAGTGGCAGATGCAGTTCAATGTAGATAAATGCAAGGTTCTGAAGCTTGGGAGTGCCCATAAAACCCTAGTACTTATAAGTTAAATGATGTAGAACTTAGCCATACAGATTGCGAAAAGGACTTGGGGGTTATGGTGAGCAGCAACCTTAAACCAAGACAGCAATGCCTAAGCGACGTAATAAGGCAAATAGATTACTGGGATTTATATCAAGAAGTGTAAGCAACAGAAGTCCAGAGGTCATACTGCAGCTTTATACATCATTAGTAAGGCCTCACCTAGATTATGCAGCTCAGTTCTGGTCTCCATATACAAAATGGACATAAATTCGTTAGAAAACATTCAGCGTAGGATGACTAAATTAATACATAGCATTAGAAATCTTCCTTATGAAGAAAGATTGAAGACTCTTAAGTTACATTCACTTGTTAGACGAAGAATGAGGGGAGACCTGATCGAAGTGTATAAGTGGAAGATAGGTATTAATAAAGGGGATATTAATAAGGTCTTGAGGATGTCTCTCCAAGAGAGAACCCGCAGTAATGGATTTAAATTAGATAAGTTTAGATTTAGAAAGGACATAGGAAAGTATTGGTTTGGAAATAGGGTAGTTGATGAGTGAACAGTCTACCTAGTTGGGTTATTGAGGCTGGGACTTTGGGTAGTTTCAAATCTAGGTTGGATAAGTACATGAGTGGGAGGGGTTGGATTTGAGTGGGACTTTCACATCAGAGCTTATTTCTTGGGTAGCATTGAAAATTGGGTTGGGCAAATGTTTTGTTAGTGGGATGAATTGTAAAGGACCTGCCTAGTATAGGCCAGCAGGTCTCCTGCAGTGTTCCTCCTTTCTTATGTTCTTATGTTTATGTTGAATGATTGCCAGAATTAGTATTGTGCTACTTAAAGTTTATATCAAAGGACAATGAAGTTTTCTGGACTTTATAATTTTAGCAGAAGTTGAGTACCAATTCCAGATCTAGAGAAGAAAGTGGAAAGTGTTCATATGGAAGAAGTCATTACTTGCAGTACAAAGGAATAACAAAACATCAGCAGTAAGAGAGTAAGACACTCATTGCAGAAGATTATTATTGTTGTAATCATGGGGAGCACTAAACCCGTAGGATTATACATCACCTGTGGGGGAGATGGAAGGCATTCAGGCTCAATTCAGGGAACTGGAGAACAGATCCAATTCCCTAGATCAAGAGCCCCTCACCAACGTCAAGGAATCTCCCTTGAGGGGTCATTACAGAGGAGTTTTTTTTTTTAGCAATAAAGAATCTAATTCAGTGAGCCTCTTACTCACCATATTACTTAGTATTGACTGAGTACCTTCAGTGATAACTAGTGTAAACATGATCTCCAGTAATCAAATTATAATTAAAGTCTAGTTTTTACAAGAGCATTTCTTTTGTTTGAAAAAATTGTGAAATGCAAGTTGTTAATTTCAGACTGGGAGCATAGAGGAGAAAATCTTTCAGCGGCAGGCCCATAAGAAAGCTCTGAGCAGCTGTGTTGTAGACTGTGAAGAAGACGTCCAGCGGCACTTCTCCATCTCTGAATTAAGAGAGCTTTTTATTCTCAATCAGAACACAACATCGGACACTCATGACAAGTAGGATCAGCTTAGCTTTTTTTGCACTAAAATTGTGATTAAAAACATTTTTATAATGTATGGTTTCAGTATCTTAATTGTTTAACTCAACAGTTGTTTCCTGCCAGGCAGGATGACCAAATGAAACAAACACATTCTTCTTCTTTCAACGCAACGGCTTTTTTTTTTTTTTTTTTTTTTTTTTAACAAGTCGGCCTTCTCCCACCGAGGCAGGGTGACCCAAAAAGAAAGAAAATCCCCAAAAAGAAAATACTTTCATCCTCATTCAACACTTTCACCACACTCACACATTATCACTGTTTTTGCAGAGGTGCTCAGAATACAACAGTTTAGAAGCATATATGTATAAAGATACACAACATATCCCTCCAAACTGCCAATATCCCAAACCACTCCTTTAAAGTGCAGGCATTGTACTTCCCATTTCCAGGACTCGAGTCCGACTATATAAAAATAACCGGATATAAAAATAACCAGTTTCCCTGAATCCCTTCACTAAATATTACCCTGCTCACACTCCAACAGCTCGTCAGGTCCCAAGTACCATTCGTTTCCACTCACTCCTATCTAACATGCTCACGCATGCTTGCTGGAAGTCCAAGCCCCTTGCCCACAAAACCTCCTTTACCCCCTTTCTCCAACCCTTTCGAGGACAACCCCTACCCCGCCTTCCTTCCCCTATAGATTTATATGCTTTCCATGTCATTCTACTTTGATCCATTCTCTCTAAATGATCAAACCACCTCAACAACCCCTCTTCGGCCCTCTGACTAATACTTTTATTAACTCCACACCTCCTAATTTCCACACTCCGAATTTTCTGCATAATATTTACACCACACATTGCCCTTAGACAGGACATCTCCACTTCCTCCAACCGTCTCCTCGCTGCTTCATTTATCACCCAAGCTTCACACCCATATGACAGTGCTGGTACCACTATACTTTCATACATTCCCTTCTTTGCCTCCATAGATAACGTTCTTTGTCTCCACACCGCTCGCTTTTTTTCCTTCATCAATTCTATGATTAACCTCATTCTTCATAAATCCATCTGCTGACACGCCAACTCCCAAATATCTGAAAACATTCACTTCTTCCATATTCCTCCTCTCCAATATGATATCCAATTTTTCTTTATCTATATCATTAGATACTCTCATCACCTTACTCTTTTCTATGTTCACTTTCAACTTTCTACCTTTACACACACTCCCAAACTCATCCACTAACCTTTGCAATTTTTCTTTAGAATCTCCCATAAGCACAGTATCATCAGCAAAAAGTAACTGTGTCAGTTCCCATTTTGTATTTGATTCCCCATAATTTAATCCCACCCCTCTCCTGAACACCCTAGCATTTACTTCTTTTAGAACCCCATCTATATATATATATTAACAACCATCGTGACATTACACATTCTCTCTGTAAATTTAGTAATACGTATACAGTAGGGCCCCACTTATTCAGCAGGTTAGGTTCCAGGAAAGCAGACTTCACCGGAAAGCAGAACTCCATTTTTTCCATTTATAAATGCATACATATGCCAGATAACAAGTTTACACTAACATATATTAAGTTAGCAATAGAACTAGGCATTAAAAAGTAAAATACACACACAATACACTCATCATTTACCTCAAAATATTTGTAGTCTTAATGTAGGGCAAAAGGTGAGTAGTATTTGCTCTAAGAAGTCAGGTGTGGTAGCCCTCCTGGCCACCCCACCCACACATACTATACTACGATGCTTAAAGCTCCCTAGAGCGATGGAATGCATATATACTACACTCATTAATTACCTTAAAATATTTGTGGTCTTAATGTAGGGTGAGAGGTGAGTTTTATTTGTATGAAGTCAGGTTGGGAAGTATGGGTAGCCAGGAAGGGCAGCCCTCCCCATCCCACCCACACATAATGTAAACAAACCAGATGAAAGCATCTGGTTTTCGTCATAAGTCCTACAAGTTGCCTGGCTACCACAAGTCCTACAAGTTGCCTGGCTACCACAAGTCCTACAAGTTGCCTGGCTACCACAAGTCCTACAAGTTGCCTGGCTACCACAAGTCCTACAAGTTGCCTGGCTACCACAAGTCCTACAAGTTGCCTGGCTACCACAAGTCCTACAAGTTGCCTGGCTACCACAAGTCCTACAAGTTGCCTGGCTACCACAAGTCCTACAAGTTGCCTGGCTACCACAAGTCCTACAAGTCGCCTGGTTACCACAAATCCAATAAGTCGCCTGGCTACCACAAGTCCTACGAGTCGCCTGGCTACCACATCTCATATTTGTTAATTTATTCTATTGTGGGGTGTATATAGATGGATTAAGCAAAATGTCTATATTAACGTTTTATACGATATTTAATGCTCCTTAGTGATTATTATTGTGTTATTATTATTAATATGGCGTCTTGACTAATAAGAGACTCAGTGATTTTAATGTGTATCTGCATGCCAGCACAGTGTGTAAGTTTACTTAGATACAGGTACACATACGTATCAGTTATAATAATGTAGGTGCATAGTCCGCCTGGGCTACATACCTACACCTACCTACATAGCTACACGATATTTAATGTGGCCCAGAGCCATATTATTACCGTCGACATACCATATTCACTGACTTTAATCGTTTCTAACAACTACCTTTAGATGCTATCATAAACAAAGGAAGAAGTAATGAATAATTCATGCTGAGAATTGTAAACAAAAGCATTATGTATTAAGGGGAGTGATGTAATGTTTTCTCTCCGCCCAGCTACCACACCTCCATAATATATAAACATAAAATGTTTATATACTATGTTATGTAAAGTGTGTCTTATATAATTTTGAAGAAAATATAATAGATGGATTAATGAAAATGTCTATATTAAGGTAAAATAAGACATTTAATGTGCCCAAGAGTGGTTATTATTACATAGAGATGTGCATGTGGAGAATATAATCAAACCGGGTGGGCCGCGCCATATTTGAAAGACCACTTGCCGTATAGAAAGTTTTGGTCATAATTTGATATCGCCGTATTAGCGGAACGCCGTAAGGCGAAATGCTGAAAAGCAGGGCCCTACTGTATACAGGTGAAGGGGTTACTAGCCCCTTGCTCCTGGCATTCTAGTTGCCTCTTACGACACGCATGGCTTACGGAAGAAGAATTCTGTTTCACTTTCCCATGAAGAGGAAATAAGAACTAGAACTAGTAAGAAAATAGAAGAAAACTCAGAGAGGGTATGTATATATATACAGTGGACCCCCGGTTAACGAACTTTTTTCATTCCAGTAGTATGTTCAGGTGCCAGTACTGACCGAATTTTTTCCCATAAGGAATATTGTGAAGTAGATTAGTCCATTTCAGACCCCCAAACATACACGTACAAAAGCACTTACATAAATACACTTACATAATTGGACGCATTTGGAGGTGATCGTTAAGCGGGGGTCCACTGTATATACTTGTACATGCAAGTGTAGTGTTTACCTGAAGAGGGTTTCGGGGGTCAACGCCCCCGCGGCCCGGTCTGAGATCAGGCCTCATGGTGGGTCAGAGTCTGATCAACCAGGCTGTTACTGCTGGCCACACGCAAGCTGACATATGAACCACAGCCTGGTTCGTCAGGTGCTGACTTTAGGTGCCTGTCCAGTGCCTTCTTGAAGACAGCCAGGGGTCTATTGGTGACCTAAGTGTAACCTAAGTGTAAGAAGTAGTAGCAAGACGTACATGAAATCTTGCATGTTTCTTTTTTCAACAAACTGACCGTATCCCACCAAGACAGGGTGGCCCAAAAAGGAAAAACAAAAGTGTTTTTCTTTTTAACTTCAGTAATGTATACAGGAGAATGGGTTACTAGCCCCTTGCCCCTGGCATTTTAGTCAACTCTTACGTAAGTAGAAGTAGCAAGATGTACCTGAAATCTTGCATGTTTGAGACAGAAGAAAGACACCAGCACTCATACCATCATGGAAAACAATTACATGCTTCCGTTTTACACTCACTTGGCAGGATGATAGTACCTCCCTGGGCAGTTGCTGTCTACCAGCTTACTACCTATCATTTATTCGATTACTGTCTTTCTTTAAGATGTGTGCTGACGTCACTATCACATTACCCTCTGACTGCAACATCCCCACTCCTTCAAAATGCAAGCACTGGCCTCCCACCTCTAGGATTCAAGTCTGGCTAACTAGTTTACCCTGAATCCCTTCATTAAAGTTACCTTGCTCATACTCAGCACATTCATTAAAAAACACTTGTCTCTATTCACTCCTGTGTAGAGCCGGCCTTAAGCCAATTGGGTCGGTTGCTCCCAATTGGGCCTTGCACCTAAGGGGGCCCCACACTAGAGTGTAATCTACTCTCGGCTTGTCAAGTACACACAACAACATGAAGTAAAAAAAGGGGCTTTGGATATAATAGTTGGCGAATTAATAAATCATTTCACAGTAACTAAAGCAAAGTGTATTGTGACTATGTACTTTTCAGAGGTAATATACAAATTTTGTTTGTTACTTGTAGGCTTACCTGGAGTTTACCTGGAGAGAGTTTCGGGGGTCAACGCCCCCGCGGCCCGGTCTGTGACCAGGCCTCCTGGTGGATCAGCGCCTGATCAACCAGGCTGTTGCTGCTGGCTGCACGCAAACCAACGTACGAGCCACAGCCGGCTGATCAGGAACTGCCTTTAGGTGCTTGTCCAGTGCCAGCTTGAAGACTGCCAGGGGTCTGTTGGTAATCCCCCTTATGTGTGCTGGGAGGCAGTTGAACAGTCTCGGTCCCCTGACACTTATTGTATGGTCTCTTAACGTGCTAGTGACACCCCTGCTTTTCATTGGGGGGATGGTGGCATCGTCTGCCAAGTCTTTTGCTTTCGTTAGTGAGTGATTTTCGTGTCAAGTTCGGTACTAGTCCCTCTAGGATTTTCCAGGTGTATATAATCATGTATCTCTCCTCCTGCGTTCCAGGGAATACAGGTTTAGAAACCTCAAGCGCTCCCAGTAATGAGGTGTTTATCTCCGTTATGC